TTTTACATATGTTTTGAATTATTAACACCTATTATATACTTCTGCACCTCTCTGTCGGTTTCCTTGTGTCTTCTTCTCTTTTCAAAGGTACTGCCTTAAACGAAGGTACTGAAACAGTGCCGCTATCCTCGGAATATTGCTAGCCCACCTGGTGAATAACGGAACCACCTCTATCATGAAATCTGCCGACAAGTTCAAAGTTGGTCTCATATACAACTGGAAATGTCACAATTATGGTGTACTTACCGGTGAATTTGAAGTTTTATGGACTTTCAAACACTCTATGAATCATTTACTTACAATTACTGTTCATTCCGCATCTCTTATATTTCACGCCAGCACCTGTACAAAAATGCTACTTACCTTCCACAATTAACGTAATCGTTTATAATTCCCGCGTGAAATTGACATACCGTATTTTTTTTCAATTACAGTTTTGATTTGATGCTATTTCTCATGAATTATTCAGTTGAAAGCATATCTCGAAAATTACCTATTGCCTTATTTGTACATTTCTTTTTAAATATTTCTCTCAAATTTACCAGTATTCAATCTATTTCTAGATTAACAAATCATATATATTCTATGAGTTCTAATTAGTGTACATTTGTTCATGCCTGTAAAAATGGCTGGTTTCTGTTCCAGAAATAAAATTATTATTATTATTATTAAGGTAGACTAATAATAATGGTAGTTTATATTTTCTTATAAACGGGTGTTTTCAAGAAATGCAAGCTATTTTGCAGACAAGATCAGTTATGTTATAAGTTACATTCGTGAAGTATTATAAATCAATACTTTTTTATTGGTATAAAGATATATTTCACAACTGTAATCCAGGTTGCGTCGTTGGTGAAGGCAATGCGCAATTCACGAGGGAATTGTAAGTTATGGGACCAATAATGTTTGCAGATCATTTGTCATTGTAAATGGGCAAATATCTACATTCTTCGTTCTCATTCAAAAAGTTAAATGGAAGCTGAAATGGTGAGAGACAAAAGAAGACAAACAACAACAACGCAAAAGAAAACAAGTGGAGTACTTAGGGAGTGATTAATATGTATATATACATTTATATTCTGTGTAGTAATTATAGTTATTTTGGTGCACTAACTAACTATTCCCGTAATGCTAACTTTTATATTGTGTGAACTAATATTATTGTCCTGTGTAAAAATGTCTATCATGTACTTCCAATAATATAAAAATTTATAATTGTAGTTTGTTGTAACTACACGTTTAATGAACTTAAAATATCTATGTTGGACGAAAAAGTGGGTGTAGGATTCAGACGCAGAAGTGCACTGTCATCTTTGAGCAGTCTGGTGACTGAGGAGATGAACACTGCGAGTGTGTTTGCATCGCGCACATCAGCTGGTAGTCTATTCCAAATGACTGAAAACTTATTTAAGAAGAAATTATACCGCATGTGAGTCTGACAATGCTCTATAGCAGCTAGGTTGTGATGATTTCTAAGATTGTAACTGATGACAGCGGTAGGTTTAATTATTGGCTCGGAGGAGTGCACGAGCAGATTAGTTAGCTTGTAGTAAAAAATCAGGTTTAGCTTAAGACGTCTTTTCCAGAGTGGTTCTAAACTTAGTCTGTCGCAACGTTCATAGTATTGGAGACCACTTTCTAAACCAAGAATTCTTAAGGTGAATTGCCGTTGCACTCCTTCTAACTTAAGCTTGTCATTTTGTCTGAGTCCGCTAAGAATAAACGGGCAGTATTCTAAAATAGGTCGGACACATACTTTATATAATAAAACCCTAGTTTCACAAGAAAAGAAATTGCGAGTTATGCATCCTAGGAGCCTTCGTGTTTTACGTCTGGCATAATCAGTTTGTTCAGAGAACGTTAAGTTACTAGAGTATCTGATACCGAGATCTACGACTGAGTTGAGCTTGGCTAGTTTACGCCCATTTATTTCAAGATTCAGGTCAAGGTTACTGTTTCCGATACAAATCCAGCCGCATTTATCAATGTTGAACTTTAGACAGGATTCAGTACACCATGTTGCGAGACTACTTAGTTCAAGATGTATTTTATTCACCATATCGCTTAGTTCATGAGCGTGGCAGGAGTAAACGACTTTGAGGTCGTCAGCATATAGGAATGATTTACCTAAGGTGAAGCAGTTGCAAATGCTGTTAATGTATACTGTAAATAAAAGTGGACCTAGGACACTACCTTGCACAACCCCACTTGTGATCTGCCTGGGATGAGACAACACAGATCCAACCTTGGTTATTTGTACCCTATTGCTTAGAAAGGATTTTAACCAGCTCAGTAATGGATTGCGAATCCCACATGAATACAGCTTCTCAAAGAGAATACTGTGAGATACCATGTCAAATGCCCTAGATATGTCGAAGTAGAGAACAACAACTAGCTTACGTGCTTCGCGACTACTAGTGATGCAGTTGAAAAAGTCGAAGTGGCAAGTAACGCAAGACCTATTTTTGAGAAATCCGTGTTGAGACCTTGTAACAAGATCTTCCTTAAGTAGATAGTCTGACAACTGATCTTTGACAACTTTCTCCATGACTCGCGAGACAACTGGGGTTATATTTATAGGTCTGTAATTGCGGACGTTTGCCTTATCACCGGATTTATAGTGTGGAATTATGAAGCTAGTTTTCCACTCATTAGGGTAAGTGCCAGTGTCCATAGATATCGAGAAGAATTTAAGAAGTAGTAGGGGTATATCACACCCACTGTTTTTGAAAATTATGGAAGCAAGGCCATCTGGTCCCGTGCTAGTGGAAGGTTTCAGGCTTTTAACTGCTTGTTCTATTAATTGGTCGGTGAACACTATGCTTCCGAGGAAAGAGCTAGTAAGGGGGCCGGTGTCACCAGGAATGCGCGTTTCTAAACTGAAGTTTGCAAACCACTCACTGAATATTTCACAGATGGTGGCAGGCACATTGTAGATAACTTTGTCATGAAGTAAATAGGGGATGTCCCTAGTCGACTGCATTCGTTTTTTAAGAAGTGTTGTTAAGTTATAAACTTTGGAGGTGCTTTCAAGTGCCCTTAATTCTTCGTCGAGGTCCTTTTGAGAGCGTTGGCGCTTGACAGATTCAAGAGACTCATGGATTGAGTGCAGTAGTGATATATCCTTAGTTGAATAGTACTGTTTCTTCAACTTCCTCAACTTATTGCGGCATGCCCTCGGAATGTAATCGGCTTGGTGTCTACTTAATTTCACTACCTTCTTAGGAGCAACAGTATCTAGACAAAGGATAACATTCCTGTAAAATAGGGACACTACAGTCTCCAGGGAGTCAGTGGTAAAATATTCATCCCAGTGACAGAGTCGAATGAGTTCTTGGACTAATCCCCAGTCTGTATGTTTGTAACTACGACAAATCAAGCTCCCTGAATCCTGTTTGTTTCCTGTATTTAGTGGTGAGAAAGGCAGAGAGCAGAGCACCATTCTATGGTCACTACTGGAAAATCTGTTACCAACATAGGTGGAGACTGGGATTGTGTCATGACAAAACACAAGGTCCAACATGTTGTCACCACGAGTAGGTGTCTGGACGTGTTGCTGCCATCCATAACAATCGATAGTGGCAAGTAATTCGTCGAAGCGTTGGGGGCAGGAACTACTCAACCAATTGACTTCTGGAAGATTGAAGTCCCCTGCAATTATTTTGTAATTAGTACTAAACGATGAGGCGTGTGCGAATGATTTAGCTAACAACGCATCAGTTTCTTTGGTTGAGCTTGGTGCTCGATAAACACAGCCTATGAGAAGCTTGTACTTATCTCCTTGTAAGACGACCCAGAGTGAATCAGGTACATCGTTCAGTATTTCATCTTCCACCTTACTGGCTACGAATGAGTTATGTATATATATGAGACATCCTCCACCACGCTTGCTGTCTTTATTTGCACGGTGTACAGTGTAATCATCTATGCCTATATGCACATCAAGTACAGAATATGAGCACCATGATTCAGTAATCAGAGCTACAGTAGGCTTGGCGATAAGTAATAATGCCCTTAGTTCAGACATCTTATTGATTAAGGAACGCGCATTAATTAGCAATATCGTGAATAAGTCACGGGATACTACAAACTGGCTTAAGATATCACCATAACCTAACTCTGTTTATGCGTCAACAACGCAAGAGTTTATGAATGATACGGGGGTTGGACTGGGTGTCTGTGCATCGGGATTAGAGTGCAGTGAGGTGGTCCTAGGTGCCATGGGTCGTACCAGTGATTCGGGACACATGGAAAATTTACCATTTGTTCCTGGATATAAGGATAGTAGATGTTGGGCCTGGGTTGACGGTTAAAAAGCATAGCATCAAATGGTCTACCCATCCACGTGCTATCCATCATACCGGTACACACCTTCGTGTTGGTTTTGTAACTTAAAGGAAATTGAAAGGGAAGGTGCTTTGGTTGTAAGACTTTGGGGGTTTTGGGGCCTGACTTTCTATAAGGTGGAGCATACTGAAAACCACCAGATATACTTGTGTTTCGAGAGGAACTTTTCGTAAGAGGTGAGGGTTTTTTGACAGTCTTACTCTCAGCAAGCTTATTGAATACAAAGTATTCTTCCCCATCATTAGTCTCAACCCGGCGAAATTTGTTCATTGTGGTGAGGTCACCACGTTTGGGTAAGAATTTCTTGGAACGGCTTGCAACAGTTCTACCTATTTTAACATCTTTTGGTGAGACGTTATTTACAGGGGTACTGGTATCTAAATCAGTCCCTAGTTCCATTGCCATGCGTGGTTGTTGTGTGGTCTGCTGAATGCTAATGTCAGCATTAGGTGACTGTTGCTGTGCACGATCGTTTTTGGGTAATTCTAAGCTAGAGGAGGTGACCAGGTTATTACTCCGCATCATTCTGCGCTGACACGGTGTTTTGTCTTGAGTTATGGTTATAGACTTATAACTACTGTTCAGTCTTAGGTGATCCTGGCATTTAATAAACTTACTTGAATCAAGGGAATTACTGAACTTAAAAATAATGGGACAGTTAGCCTGGTTAGACTTTTTACGAAGTCTTTTGCATTCACATGGAACACTGGCCATGCCGCAACAAATCAGGATTTTGTGTTTAACAGTCTTCAGAGGAAGAGAATCTGGGACATTGTAAACTATAGCCTGGTGAGAAGAGGTTATACGCTTCATCACCTCCGCAGCCAAGCAGTCAATCATATTTTCAGCCTTATTTAGGGTGTCTGGAGACATTTTAGGATGCTTTCTTAACAGACAGGCTATTGGGTCTAAATCCGAAAGCTTGCTTTGAGTTACATCCAGCAAAGACTTAACCTGGCCAATATCAGAACTGCTCTCCGTGATATTTGACAATGGCAGTGACATTCTATCAAACTGACCTAATTTTTTCTGAAGTTCATTTACTTGCCTTTGGATATCTTTCACAAGGAGGTCTAATTTACAGATCTCAGAGTTCTCTAACAGAACATCTTTCATCTGTATCACAGGAGTTAGAATTGCACTCAAGCCATTTTGTGAGCTAGTAGTTAATGCTGTATTACAGGGTGGTAATGCAGTTATAACCGAGGTTGAGGCACTATCTAAAACAACTGTGTTTCTACGAACACGCTTTTTAGAAATTTGGACCATAATTACAGGGATTATATGACTATAAGCAGTAAATGAATATCAGAGCAAACACGTGCAAAAATGTCACCAATTTCGAACGTACCGCCAGTTTAGAATGTATTTCATGTAAAAATTATAGGGTGCACCTAAAACCCTTGGTGTTAACTCCTGTTTATGGCGTCTCAGTGATTTCTGCAGAGCTTCGTTTTTTCACTTGTGTTCATATTTGTCGTTCACGAGTGTTTCAGTAAGTGTTTGTGGCTATAATCAGGAACTTTTCAGAACTGAAAAATAACGTCCTCCTTACCTTCTGAACAACTTTTCCTTATTACAGGATAATAACTTTATTTCACGTATAAGCCTGAGTTATGTCTATGAAATCACAATATTACATCAGTTAAATCTTCCCCCAAACCCAAGGCCACTTGAAACCAATAGCAACATGGCGACAAGCGTCACTGAGGGGATATGCAATAAAGTTGCTCATATTTATTGAGGTATTACATAATACTGCAGGGCAATAATATGCAATTTGACGGCTCGAGATTTTTTTGAGGGCTTAGATCGTTATCTTGAAAAGGATAATAATGATCGCCTAGATGGATGATACTTCTGCCTTTAAACATATACCATTTGCTCAGCCTACTGTTGAGATGCGATTCCGTGGGCTCTGCACAGTTTCATGAAGCATCTTATAAATTTACATGCTTTCCATTGTCGGATCTTTGAATATCACTTCACAATGTCTCATCTCATTGGTTTTCTAATAACGTCTTTACTTGCTCCTCATGATACTCCATTAAACTTTACATTTTATAGCTCTTTATGAATTCGATTCGACTTATTCTATTACTATTCTCTGTAGGGTACGGTTGTGCACCAAATACACAAAAAGGTATGAAATAAAAACAACTGGCTTGAGGATAATTCTATTAAAACCAGAAGTGGACATCATGATAGTAAGACCTATATGTGTAGCACTGTACATTGCGAATGAACGTTGCCAAACTAGGGATTATATAGTTTCCCATTGTATCTCCTTTATGAATGCATTTGTTAATGATACATTGCACTTACTTACTTCATTACACTTTACCGATTTACCTTAGCACTTTTACTTTTCTAAATAGCTTTCAATCCCATGTAAATGTAGTACTTATCTCAATATTGGTTGGTTATCGTATGCCCACAACCACGGGTTGAAAACTAAACGAAGTCGATTTTCCCGCGCGACCTGGAGGACTACTGTACAACTCAATAATTATACGACCTGGTTCAGACAATGAGTGTATTTTTATACATATATATATCAAATATTTAGCTGTTGAAACGTTATTAACTTGTAGACAATCTACGATTTGGGATTATATCATACTTGATCGTGCCTGTAAAAACGTCATGCATTTTCACGTAAATTTATACGTTTATATGAAAGCATACATTATTATTATTGTACTGCTTCTTCTGATAGCACAGTACAGTATCGTAAGTTCCTAACACGATGGTATTTTACACTGGGGCAACGCGCACTTTATGTCAAAGATTTTGGAAGCTCTCCATGATCTCTGAGAGTGTGCTCGAAATTGTTGAAGGTAGTGGTAGGCAACTGACAGATGACTCCAATGAACTCACTGCACTTCTAGATAACTTCATGGACTAAAAAAATAACTTGGTTTCCTGGGTTGCACTAATGAGCTGAACTCAAGTATCTTAATTTAGGGTATAGCCAGGTGTTTAACTGTTCGGCTACAAAGAAAATGAATCGAGATCAGCACGCATACAGAGAGGGAGACTAGGAGCCCGAGTTTGACTATATTTTGAGGATAGTGGAAGGTAGCGCTAATCAAACAATGAGTGAATTTGCCAGTATATTGCATCCCACTCCTGAAGTTGGGAAGTCAGTGAGTAAGGCAAAATCATTTGTGATGAAGGGTTCTCAAGGTAGTGGGTGTGATATTTGGTAATGTCATCGACTCAGTGAGTGTGCTAGTTTCAACTGAATGTCCCTGTCAGAAAGATTTGAGGTTGTGGGAAAGCACCGGGGATCAAGGAAGTTCAAAAATTCAACTGCACCTCAGTCCCTTCACTTTCAATGGCCAATTCGTTAATCTATCCTGATCGAATAACACCACAGACGATTGGATTTGCAAGGGAAAAGAGCGTGGTTGTTGCGTAGTGACCACACAACCATCCTGAGAGTTATTTCTAGCTGATGCCAATCACAAGACTAGCCTGAAGTCGTTCAAGGTTGGCAACTGACGCATTTTCTAGAAACGACCATGGTTTAGTGTCTGAAAAAGGGGCATTGGAAATGAAACCTTAAAACAGTTGGGAATTCAAGTGGTAATTCAGTGGGACTGCATCCACTATTGATGATTTCAAAAGGTGGCACGTGTTCTGTTAACAGTTACAACACCGTCGATGTCCCTGATGTCTAGGTAGCCAACATGAGGATTTATGCTTCATATCTCACATTCCATTAGGGGTGACTACTAGTGAAGAACGTAGACTGTGACTAAGAATCTGGATATAATCAACTATCTTATAACTTATACGGTTAAAAGCCAGTTTTGTCAAATATTTGATTAGCTAATCATACTGTTTTCAAGATTTGGATTATTTAAACCTATATTATTTCCGGTTTTGTGGTGAGAATTAATATCATAACTATTGATTATACACAAATTTTCGAACCTGCAAAACGGGCCTTTTTTTGTTCCTAACATAAAATTGTCATTATGAATAGGATGCAGACGAACATACAGAAATTGCTTCCGTGCACGAGCCACAGTAACAGATTGTCTCATGGAATCGCAAGACTGCTAACTGAAACAGGCAAAATTAAGAGGAGCGGAGATAAAGAGGAGGCCACTGCGGAATGTTTCTCCATAGTTTTCATATATTAATCACTACCACATTCACCAATGGCTGTGAATATTCCACAGGCGAGCAATACGACTTCAGTCATTAATGGACACGAAGTCTTATTCAAATCCTTAAGCACGCTATATAGAGAGCATCCAGCGAGTAGCAGAGAACTTTGGACAGAGCTTCTAAAGGAGTTATCAGCCTACACAGGTGGTCTGCCAACTACTATCTTCAGGCCTTCCCATTTACACTGCATGTAAATGCCTGAATGAAAGAATCACAAGTAAGCAAAGGTAGATGTCCGCGCAATATGTGAAGCTGGCAAGAACGTGTAGGGTTACTATAGCACAGTGTGTCAATGTTCAGGTCTAACTACACTGAACTTAACGCTGTCCTTAGAAGACCTTCAGCAACAATGTGCAATAACCAACGCGAAAAAACAGAACACAGATTGGTGACTCGAGAATCTTTTATTCTTGCACCCATATGGAACCAACAATAAGGTCGTTATACATAAAGTTTAGGAATAAATGTCATAACAATTAACCATAGTTCATTCTTCAACTACATTGACACTCTCGGCAAAAAAGGGATCCCTCCCTTTTTTCCATCACGACTAATAAACTTTGACTTGGATGCCAGCGCGAGAACCTGGGCCACAAGGACAAAGCTGAAATGGAAAACAAAACAACAAAGCCAACACACCACAGGCGTACCCACAGCATAATCTTACTCGTCGGCAACGACCTACGCCCTTCAGTTAAATGCATTGTCTTGACATCTTGCAGCACAATCGCCACTTGCTAGAACGACTTGCAGAAAGCAACGTGACCATAGCAGCACCTCATGATACTCTTCACAAATCCTCTTATCTATTCAGTACCAATTACCACTGCTATCACTTGTCGCTCATTCTACCTCAGTTCTAGTAACGGTGACGTATGCAAGCCTCAGTCGTCTACACTCTCGCTCCCCGGCGTGTGGGATCACGGCCTAAATCGAGACATTCATTCTCAATCATTGATTCCTGCTAATCCTTGTCTATGTGTGCATGTCATTATCAGCACTAGCCTCCCTGGCGTATACGACCCATCTGCAATCTTTAACATCAATCAATTCATTCACAGATGTAGAAGACTTGAAACAACTTCAGAAGTAAGCACGACGAAATTTAAACAAAATTATACAATACAACAAAGTACGAAAACAACAAGTAAACACAGTGAATCCAAAAATCACCGAATGATGCGACACACCATGCATATATACAAACAGTACACACAACCTCGCAGACCATGTCTTGATGTAATTCCTTTGAAGAATCGCAGGACTTACAGCAGTACGCCTGCGACCCCTCTCAGATTGACGATTCTAAGTTGGAAAATCGTCAAATGGTCCATTCTCTGTTTCTCGGCTCTCAGCACCTTCCAGCAGGCAGAGTTTCCTTATACCTCGTACCAACATGCCACAACTTGTTCTCACCTCGACTGTCCTCACCAACCCATCACCACTACAGAGTACCCTTTCTACCCTTCCCAAAGGCCATCTACCTGTGGCATATTTATCAGGTACTAAGACTATATCACCGACCTTTAAGTTTGTGCACAACTTTTTCCAGTTGCCTCTTGTTTGCAGTGTTAGAACACACTCTTTTAACCATCTTTTCCAAAATATATCTTTCATGTACCTGGCTTGTTTCCACTTTTTAATCGTAGGTATTCGTTCCGCACTCAAGTCCCCTATGCCAGGGTTACTTCGCAATAAAAATAGTTTATTTGGAGTCAACACATTGAAATTCTTGACGTCGTCCCACGCATGTAATAGCGGCTGGTCATTTAGTATTCGTTCAGCTTCACGTAAAAATGTCTCTAACGTTTCGTCATTCAAACTTTGGTTTTTATTATGGAGCTTTAAATACGCTTAATAATTCCTATAAGTCCTTCCCATAGCCTACCTCTGTGGCTTTCATGTGGTGGGTTGAAGTGCCACTCGATAATTCTTTTCCACTTCCGCTCTTCACAC